CCCCAAAACCCCAAAACCCCAAAACCCCAAAACCCCTTTCAATGAATACAATATTGAAATAAATAAAAATGCGTTTGACCTGTTAACTCTCTCCTTCCCAGTCCACCTCTTTCTCTTTACTAACTCTCTATTTTATCATTCAGCTTTTATTACTTAATTTCTCTTAGCAACAGTGTCTTCTAGCCTGAAGCTTGCTTCAGGGATAACTTCGAGCTCTTGCTTATTAGCTTTGGTCTTCTTCTCCAGAAGAAGGCTATTGGCTTTCTCGAGCTTGTACGTGACAGAGGAGGCGAAGGCAGAACTGGTCTTGTCGATTGGGTTGTCAGCTAGATTTGAGGGATAATAGACCGGAGAATGGGCAGGTTAGAGGTGTAAATCATTGTTAGAATGAGGAGAGAAGGAGGATTAGTGAGTTAGTAAAGCTTCGATAATTTGATGGAAATTTCATTTTTTGGTTGTATCTTTTTTAGAGAAATTTTAAAAATTATTACTTATTTTATTAGAAATAGTCACTTTGAAAAGCTTAAGATATTTGATATTTACTCACCTTCAACCTCTTCATCACCCCGACTAAAATCAGAGCTACTGTCACTAAGAATTTCATTATCGGCTTTTTGCTCAGTATCTTCAACTGAAATACCAACTTTTTCTATGCTTCGCTTGAGTTTCTTCTGTTTATAATCCAAATAAATCTGACTGAGTTTATTCATAGCTTTCTGCAGCATTCTTTTCTTTCTGTTGAAGTAAGACAGAGCTCTCTGAAGGTTCCTCTTTATGATTACTTCTAATCTTGCTTTAGTACCAGAAAAATAAAGCCACAAATTATGTATAATAAGGCTCTTCCATTTGTTAAATCAAATTGAGCATATCCTTTTGTCAGTTCTTGGATGGTTTGATCGGAGAAATGAATATTTTTTGTGGGTGCAATTTTTGATCCTTTAGGCAATTTGATAATATAGAATCAGGAATTTTGGATTGGCTTTGGGAGATGTGTAGAGGAGGAAGACTTTGATTTTCAGTGAAGATTATTCTATAACTAAGACAGGAGAGTACCTTTTGCCAGTACTTTTGGCTATAGGCTTAGAGTTTATAGGGTAGTTAATATAGTTCCTTGGATTGCAAGCCTCTTGTCTTCTCTTGTTTTGTGTGAGCCTCTTTTCATCTTATTTACGAGGTTTGAGTATGGTTTTAAGACTTTATTTTGCTGTGGAATGCTGTTTCTTGTTCATATTTCCACTATGACCATCAATCCAACCCCTTATCTACCCCTTCTACCTCCCTCTAAAATCTTAAAAACTTACCTTAACCATCCAATTTTCTTCTTCTGCTTTCTTTCACTAAACACTTTCCTTCCTAAAACTCTTAATATCTTCTCAAAAATTTCCTAAAATCCTAATTCCCCGAAGAAATTTAATTTTTGTTCATTCATGGGTAAAAATTTTGGCTTTGGATAGAAATTTAGCTGGAAATTTTAGGTTGTGAAGGAACTTTAAGTACCATTATAGCTGAACTTTGGGCGTCGGAAGTTCAGTGGTTTTGGGGTATGCTTTGGGGCAACAATTGGAGGGAAATTAAAGATGTGGATTTTTGAGCTGACTCGAGGAGATTTAGAGTAGCTTTGAGCACCTAGGGGGATGAATGAGACTGGTTTAGTAGCTGGAGAATGCTTCATTTGTCTTATAAATAGTCTTTGGTCTGGTTCCATGTATTAAGCTAAACTTATTTTATAATTATTGGTGTCCGTGGGGTTTTGGGGTTTTGGGGTTTTGGGGTTTTGGGGTTTTGGGGTTTTGGGG